CGAAAGGTTCCGTTTGAAAAGAGTTAAATCTCAAGGTCAGTATTCCGCCGCTCTCCCAGGAATATTGGCTCGACAAATGGCAGGAGGTAAATTTGACATTAATGATGTAATTGACTTGTGTCAATTAGGAGTTAAAAAAGGAAATCCTTATGCACAATATATGCTTGGTCTGTATTATGAAAATGGGGTTGGAGTAGAAGCAAATATTAAAAAGGCACTTGAATTGTATGAAAGAGCAGCTGACCAAGGATATAGTAAAGCAAAAAGTAAGGTGTATACTTTTTATGAAAATGGGGCAGAAGTAAAGGAAAAAATAAGAGAGAAGATTGAGTTGTATAAAGTTGATAAGAAGTAGGTCTTTATAGAGCTTTTGATATTGACACAATTACAGTGGTTGTAAATTGGGTAGGAAATTGCATTTGCTGAAGACAGGTTATGAAATTTTTTATATTTATATTAAGATGAATAGTCTTGCATTTGGAAATTTCAATATTTATATTGAGTATTAAACAACAGGTCAGGTTTAGTAAGTAATTGCAAAAATATTTGTTACAATATATCTCATTATTATTATAAAATAGTTTGGTCACATGAACAGTTAAGTAAATTTCTCTATATAAATAAAAATACTTTTCATATAAGTTAAACAAATTGGAGCATTTGATTTGAATTTGACATAAATTTCTCTTTGATAATGAGACTATTGCTGTTGTTGACAAATAAACATGCAATTACCATGAGACTAATACTAAGATGTGAGTTAAAGTCAATTCTATATAAAATCACTTAATATTAATTTATTGGCTAATCGGCTATTGTTATGCAGAATTTGCTCAGCTAGCCTGTGTATTTGTTTTTATGTGATATACTAATACTCAAAAAGTACATCAAATTTATAATTTTGAAAACGGCTATAAAAAATAAATTCTTAATGTAAGTAACTGTTGAAGGAATCTGAATAATCGAAACTGTGTATAAACTCTGCTTGCAAGCTTATTCAAAATTTTGAGTCATATAGAAAACTAATAGTATTAACACACATAATCAACTTTATCACACCAACATGTAATCAGTTGTTGTTATTGTTGCCTTTTTACCTGGAGCTGAATTCAAATCATGATTGTTTCGTGATTCAGAAAAATTACCTATTGGCAAGGTCTTACTAAATATAGAGTATTTATTCTCTTTTTCAAGCCGTGATAAGGTTTTACATTATTGTGATAGATGGTATTCTAGCGTTGCGTTGTCATTCTTCACCTTATCAAAAAGATTTACAATATTATCCTAAAGTCTCCGTACATCTGGATGCTTATCAGGATCAGCATCACAACATTGCTCAGCAAGTTTCCTATATCCTTTTGGTGTATTTAGTATTACCAGGCATTGCTGGCGTAATCCGCCCATAATATCACATATTAAGTCTCTATCGAATTCTCTATTTTTAAAAGGTAGCGCGCCAGTTGCCATCAAATACGTAATAATACTATACCAAAAAATATATTGAGTAAATTTACAGGTATGAAAGACTTCTGGTGCAGTAAAAGATAGAACGACTCTAATGCTTGAATTTAGCTTACTTTACGCGAATTCGCTGACCAGGGTCGCATATCGTAGTAGACGCTGTCAGCTTCAGCTCTCTATGTCGGTAATTTCTGTGCAAGAAATCCATTCAAGTTTATGTTTGCTTTCCAGGGAGGCTTGAACCAGTTTGTTAAACGCATATCCTTGACCACTGGAACTAACGACATGATATGATTGAAAGAACCGAACCGTACTGCGCAAGCAGAAAAATTGATATAACACATTACGTGATAAGATTATATACGACATATGCAGAATATAATCGATCTGTGCATGCAAATAACAGATAGTACAACAGACAAAAGTATAATATGTAATGTTACTTCCGGACCACTGTAAGAGAAATGTTGGAGGCATTAAGAATATTTTCAATTATATAGGGAAATTGATGAAATGGCCTCAATCACTAACACTAAAGACGAAGAAACGAACTAGCCTATACAACTAGAACCGATAATATTTAAATGCAGATAATTGCACCTTTTTACTGAAAAGTTATCCCGCTCTATATACGTACAACTATAACAATATTGTGCTTTCTCACGTTACGGAATAAATGTTGCAGCTTTCGTGTCAAGAAATTTGCAAGAGACATTCCGATTGAACGTTTATTATTATCTATATGTATCGTTCACACTATATTAGTAAGCAGGATTTACTAAAAACGTTTACTTTTTTGAATGTTCTGATGATAAATAAATTTCTCAATGAACTGGGTCTGCTTAGATACTATACCGCCGCTTTTGCTATAACAAAAGTTTTTCATTCAGTTAATTACATTGTAGATGTACTGTCCGCAATTGCAAACCTCTGAAATATTTGAGGCATTGTAAAGGCAATTGTTCATGTTCTATCAGAAAGTTTTCCGGAAAAACTTTCCAGTATCTATTCATTTCGTATGATGTAATAGTAAATGGCTTACACTAGAATGTAGATCGAATTCTAAAGCTAATTATGTTCTCCAAGTTAGTGTGCCCTCAAACTAAGAAGGAGGAATAAAGCGTTAATTACACCTCTTCAACTAAAATAGTTGCTGTTAGTCGAAAGCTTATTATACGGACAATATCAATAATAATAATGCTTATCTTCGTCGTTATTAGTATAGAGATGAATATGAAATAAAACTCTGAGTAGATTTGGAAAGTTACAGGTTAAGCTATACACGTGAACGTGTCCTTCATTAATTTTGTACCACGCCAAGGACTAGATCAACGGATGTTATTGGATAAGAGGACAATAAATGCCTTCACAATCGCAATCACAATGCTTGTGACAAGCGATTGTGATTGTTCCTCAAAACCTGGGAGCGTGGGATACTATTTCTTTATTTCTGTATAGACTACTATTTACTTATAACGTCGAGCAAATAGAATTACCGAACACGGGAAAAATAGGAATTACGAGAACGTACTGAGACGACCGGATAACAATTTATTACGTAAGTTACAATGGAATTTTGAACTAATTATCGTCATTATTTACACTCACAATTATCTCCTTTATGCGGGCAACTTCTCTATTTGCATATACACTTTATGCATATATCATTACATACTGCAAAGTAATACGTAAATAAGCTTATCAACTGATATCACATGTCAATAATTGCTGCCTCATACTTTTTAATTCACTGATGATAACTATTTTCGTCGGATGCCATTTCCATAATACGTCACCGCATTCTATCTATCGTGTGATACAATAACAATGAAAATCGGACACTTTTAAACCGCAATTTATACTTTTCAGGAAACCAATGCAAAGCCGAGCTCTACTCATCAAAGTATCGTTACCTTAATTGAGTGACAGTGTCAATCGTTGCTTAAATGAAATATGCAAAAGTTGTACAACATTGGCCGCACTAATGGGTGAGAGCAAAATTACAAAATATTGTACAGTTGTCCGATATTTGGTTGGACCAAGTCAAAGCGTAAGCATCATAACGTTGTACGGACAGTATCGGACAAAACTGCTTGTAGCCCGCTACCAATCGATTTTTGTGGTTCAAACTTCGTTTTGTTTGCATGCCAACAAGAGTAAATATCTCGATACGAAAACACCCGTATTACTTTGCGCTATTTATAAACATTTTTATCAATGTGCTATTTATATCGGAATATATACTTGTAGATTGCAGAGATATGAATTAATTGTAGGGAATTGCAGTACAAAGTACAATTATGTTCTGCGTTTATACCGAGAATCTCTCTCTAGTATTGTTTTTGCCGCCTATATTTGAAACATTTTCCCAGGCCAATAATTAAAATGAGAGTTCTGCATTCATCGATTCGTCTAATACTAGTTATCATTGGTTACGCTAACGCATTACATTGCATCTGATTTCTGCATGTAACGTAGAACGATTCTTACGAATAACCAAATGGAAACCACTTACACTGCAGTAAGCATATAAACAATCGAGCAAATCAAATCTACTCTCTAGGCAACTTGGCAGTTGATCACATTCGTAACCGTTATCTCGATCCTAAATCTTATAAATAATGGCAATCTTTCTTTTGGTAGCATGCAGCCACACTTAACTAGCGTGTGTAAACCATGAGCAATATGACAGATATAGACATAGAAGCTGGAATATCTGAGGACATTTTAACTGTTTTTGAACCAAATGAACAATCAAAGTACATAAAACCAGTTGGTTCGGACATTATAGAGAAAGAAGTAAAAGTTGAACATTCCTTAGATTCATCATCGACAAATGAAGTCCGAATGACCGATGAACAGCTAGAGACACAATTTAATTACACACTTTTTAAAAAATCAATTTCAATTTCTAACAAGGTCGTAATAGCGTTCAGGTTGTTTTGTGCCTTGTCAGTCATGATCAACGCAGGATACCTGATTTTAACAATAATAGGCTGCATTAAATACAACACATTTGCAAGTATTTAAAACTAAATGCGCGTGTACGTCGAGTGTTATAAATCGTAACGTATTTTTTGTTAACACTTTTTATTTATTTATAGCATATAACTGTTGGCTATCCGTATTATTGCTTTACGTCTATATTTGTTTTTGAGTTGACCTTTCGGACTTTTTATCTACTCATATGGTTTAATAATAAACGCATATGTTTAGAGAGTTTTGTTGATCGTTTAGTAACATTTATCGGTAAGATAATAATAATAATTCGGCAGACATATGGTAACAGAGCTTATCGTATACAGAAACTTGAGTTCTAATTATGATTTCTACTTAGGTGGATTGGAATATCTTGCATTGATTTCATTCAATCGCATGTCTCCTTCGTGGTCTATGTCACGAGCTCTTTCTTGCATACTCGGACATATTATTATTGGCATTCTGCTTGATGCAATATTTTTGGCTCAAATTTATAGTGGTTCTAAGGAAAGCAATGACTTGTTTGCATATGTATTCAGTATTTATGGTTTCTGTCATTACGGAACGTATTATATAAAATTGTTTATTTTGACTATATTTGTCAAAAAATCAACTAAATGTTAAATAACCTAGCCTGTAATATAAGCGTACATTAAAAGAAAAAATTTAATTTACAAATATAAAACTATAAATATGGACAATAGTTGTCTTTTTGGGAAGTCGACTATTTTTGTCGCAAGGTGATTCAAAAACTAAACTTTAAAAGTTTATTGTCGTTTAGTAACGCTTGGTAATCGTGACATAATAACAAGACAATAAATTAATAATATTCTTCGAAAATTCGACACATTTAATTTCCCAATCGCACACACAATCAACATTACATAAAGCATGCGCCAACTGCTTAATAATTGACCATTTTTATCGCAAATTCCACACAGTATTACGTTATTAGGATTTTTTTTCCTAGCTTGTAATCTCAAAATGATTTAACCAATAAAACTACATCATTATGCTAGTTTGTGATTCCGTCGTTCTCTTACAAACCAGTTAACTTATTGTCATGTAATGTCACTTGCAGTTCAATTGGGCACTTGTCCACAAATATTTGCGGAACAACAGTATCACCAACGTAAACCGCCAACGGGGTACACGGTAAATAGTAACGCTCTGTAACACTATACACACAGAACTGTTTTGTTTTTATCAATCCGGTACTTTGCGCAACGAAAATTACGGTCTTTTGTGTTAACGCCAAATAACGATTATTGTTGCAAGCGCTTCAGAGTCTAATAAACAGTTTATGCTCAAATCTTTCAATCAAAACAAATATCTTTTTCTCTGGAATTTAAATTTGGTGTGGTTATCAACAATACTAATGCGAGAGCCTATCATACGGTTAGCATTTTTCCTAGTTACCCATACATAACAAAATAAACAACATCGTTGGTTTGTCTGTGGTGTCTTGGAGAAGCTTTACTCGAGTGGAAGATACACAATCGTTTCGTTTCATGTCGGAAAGGAACCAAACAACAGACTTTTTTGGCTCACACAGGAGTATATTCTTTAGGAAATAGGTTTAGCCTCATATCGATATACAAGAAGCACCACGTAACGATTCATTTGCTTAAACAAAAATGTGACGATATGTTGTAACACAATGATCCAGTTGTTGTACTGAGTTCTAGACTGAGCGACTGGGTTCTGAACTGAGACAGGTTCTGAACTCAGACACAACAGTGATCTCTGAAAACTACGAATAGCCCACACATAATTGTACTTCTTAGCTGCGATTACGACAAATTATTATGTGGCTATATTTTGCCCTAGTGGTAGCCTGACGCATCCCAAATGGGAAGAGGTAAAATACAAATATATACAACTGAGGTCGTAAAAATTCTCATGACACAAAAAAACGTCTAATCATATCACAGGGTTATTTCAAATCGTCTAGTGAGTTACTACAAAGGGATTGGAACGACGATTGAAATTCAATGGCATTCGAATTCATTCTTGTGAAATGGTTGTCTTTGATCCTTAATTACTAACGTAACGTTTGTGATTATACCTACAGCCCTGGCACGGTCACCTCAATGCTTCTGTAAGTTATCTATTATAGCATTGGGAAGCAAACTGGCATGATTACTTTGTGAAGGTTGACATTATTATCACGTTTCAAATTCTCTCGTTTTCTAACATCCGACGGTATTCTTTTTATATCTCACGCGCATTGCACAGTTATACTATTGACGTTAATCTTGTTTACAAGATTGATGCGTGTCAGTCCTGGATAATTACTTTGGGATGGTCGCGCTGGTGGACGGCTGACGAAGATACATGTAAGTTTGGCACTGATGATGTGATGATGAGGTTCCAGCGGGCTTGCCATAACTCTGTTCGGTTGCTTAGTTACCGATAGTTGGATGTCTCGATGGGTCTTATTCTTTGTGGCAAATAACACTTTGTTATAAATGATCAGAGCTACGTGACCTGATCAGGAGGAAGATGTGCTTGTAATTAATGCAGAAAAAGGAAATGTCTTACTGAAGCAGACGATCGAGAGCCTTATTTAATAAAATGGTTTACAGATAAGGTATTCAGATCATGTATTTCACCATACGACTAACATAATATATTAATCTTTGTCTTTCAATTCACAGCGTTATCAACGCGATAACTCACCATGAGCAAAATGTCTAGCTATTTATATGGGCGCCAAAAGCTTCCTGTTTCTGACAGCTTTGAATCTGTCATGTCAATCACTTTTATCTCCCTGATACTGTGTGCTCATTGCCGGTAAATTGATAATTCATTCTCCTATGGTTTATTCCCCGTTAATTGAATATAGCTCATCGTTCGACTGAAAAACTTTTAGGCATAAGCTGGAATAATGATGGTACTCATCTGTGCGCCTTCAGCTGGGAAGGAAAGCAATGGATTCTCAACATCTCAGAGTCTGGCATATCGATTAATAAAGCCGCTACGGAACGCTTGAGGAAAAATGTAGAAGATCAGTTAAAAGACGTGTTCCGGAAGGCGAAAAAGATTCTGAAAATGAAAGTGAATGTGATGAAGGCGACGATGAAATTGGTTCTCCACTGCCCTTTAACATTGATGAGCTTGACGGTAACCTTGATGGGATAACGAACGAAGATGACGCAGATGATGCTGAAGAGGAAGAGGAAGAAGAAGATGGTTTAGGCTTGGTACAAGTACAAGCAAAACCAGCAAATCTAAAAGCGTTGAGAACAATAGAACAGATTGCGAAGAGACTGGCCGAAAATATTATTTCAAAAAGTCATGAGAGCATGGACATGGATGATGCAAAGACATATACGTCAGATTTGTTAATGCAACTACAACCGCAAGTGCCTGGAGTAGGCGCATCGGCTGAATGGAATATTTTGTGGCTTTTGTTTTCGCGTACGTTTATTTATTTATTCTATTATAACTTTTGTAAATTGCAAGGCGTACTTGTTCTGATATATGTTGGGTCTACGTGGGGCGTTCAAAAAGTTTTGACACAAATGCTTATAACATTTTTATTTACATAATAAATTTTAATTTAACTGCTCCATTCCTTCAAAATACTCTCCTTTAACCTCTATACATCGTCTCAGCCTTCTACGCCAACTCTGAAAGCACTCAGAAAATTCTTCTTGCGGTATACTATCAGTAACTAGTTTTACGGCACGGGCAAGGTCTTGAATCCTCTCAAACCGCTTTCCACCAAGTTCTTTTTTAATTTTTGGAAATAGAAAAAAGTCACACGGGGCCAGATCAGGACTATAAGGAGGGTGAGGAAGCAATATTACTCGTTCTTCCTGAAGGTACTTAGTGACAACTTTTGACTTGTGTGGCGCAGCATTATCATGATGCAGCATGACATCACGCACTGTGCTCCTACCGCTGATTTCCTTAAATTTTTTAAACATCGTTGGTAATATAATATTACGATAATAATCACCTGTAACTGTATGCCCTTTTTCTACCACTACACTTGCCACAATACCATCCACTGAGAAGAAAATGCAAAACATCCGTTTTTTACTGTTTTTCGCTGTTCTTGTGATTTGGGGTCGGTTTTCTCCCTGACGGAGCCAAACTTTATTGTCATTTTTAGATGAAACTGTGAAGAAATGAAACCATGCTTCATCACCAGTAATAATATTTTGAAAACCATTGTCAAGATACTCTAAGAGTTGTCTAGAAATCTCAACTCTCTTTCGCTTGTTCTCATCAGTAATCACGTGAGGGACCCATTTGGCGCACACTTTCTTGACGGAAATTTCATTATGTAAGATGGTTTCAATACTTCCAGTTG